CCATCTGTTTCCGAAAACCACGTGCGGATCTACGGAGGGGGCCCCCAAAATGGTAAAACATAACCACGTTTTATGAAAAAAAAATACCTCTTAAAGTATTATTGTTGGTGTAATTACATTTAAAAGGACTTAAGGAATCACTTAAACACCATTTCATATAGGTAGTTAGTTTATTTCTGTTTTTCCAAAGTAAATATCGTTATTTTTGTGAAAAAAAAAAGCTTCCGGGCTGAAGCCCCCTCCCCAAAATTAAATTCTGGATCCGCTAGTGCCGTAAACCACCTTCAGTCTCTGAGCTTTGTGTACCTTTCTGATGACAGAATGACTAACTCTAATTTCAACATTTTTCAGTAAAATTATTTTAGTGATATTTCTTGTTGGAGAAGTTATATCTATACAGACAGTGAATAATCCGATTCCATAGTAGGTGACTGCATTGTCAATACACATAACTGAATAAAGGCATAAATTTCTCACTGTAAACATCACTAAAATTAATAATAAAGAATGTTGAAATTGGAGTTAGTCATTCTGTCAACTGAAAGGTTCATGTATGATTATGAATGCCTATAAATGATTATGCATTGTAGGATTATAAGTTATCAAACTATTATTTTTCATTGTAAAGTTTAATAAAATGAAATTACGAGATTTTCACTGCCTGCCATAGACAGGTCAAAAGGTGTCACACTAATTTTAAGTGGATAATGTTGAGATACGAAAAAAGAGAATTCATAAAATTATTCATTAATTTAATTTTCTAAAAGGTTACTTGATTTTTAGGAATAAACGGGCAATAGATAAATAATTATTTAAATATAATATCATGTCTGGACTTAATGAACTGCAGTAAATGTATTTAAGGTTATGAACATATCCATGAAATATTTTTATAATTCACTTCTTCTTTCATACAATTACAATGAAGTAGTGTTTTAAACAATGTTGGCTTGATTCGTTAGATTTAAAATACTTTTTTTTTCAAACAAAAAAAAATTTTTAAAAGTTTACATTTAGTAAGTAATTTTTATTTAATTTCCTTGGAAACATACGATTTACGTTAAATAATGTTAGTTTTCAGAAATTATTCTTCATATTTTTTTCGTCACTCTCCGTTACCTTCTACAACTTTATTTATTTTTTCTGAAATTCTTCGCCTTCCAACGATATATTATACGTGAACCTTCTGACTATTATTTCCGGAGATTCATTTTCGACCTGGGTAAGCATATTTCTTTTTTCCTCCAGTTTCCAATTATGATATTATTCAATTATCAACACACAGCACACACCAGAAACATTCGTTTGACTTTAATAATAGTGAAATAGTGACAAGTCAAAAAAACAGCTATATAACGTAAAGTATTAAAATCAATATATACTAGTAAAAATCTAGAGTATGTAATTTTCAGGAAGACACAAAAGGGCTAAATTGTACATATGCGAATATCCCAGTAAATTTGAATTCTAATTAAAAGATATCTTTAATAGTTCAAGTAATAGCCTTTAATGGGTACATAGTAGAAATAACAATATAATAATATGTAATCCCCCAACCACACTGCCATAGAGACTATAATCCAATTATGGACTGTACATAAGAAGTATTATTAAATCAAGTAAGAATATTAAAATTCAAAAAGAACTGGTATCTGATTGACCTTGCATTTCCTTTTTTGTTTTTAATTTGAAATTAAAATTAAATATTGACTCAAGAAACGAGGATGGTGAAATAAAACAGCCTTACTTTATATTATTAAATAAAATTTCTTTTCATTACTATTTGGTAACAACATTTTTCTTTAATTGTGGGTGGATCTATTTAGAATCTGTCAGATGTAATGTTTTTGTGTAAATTTGGTCTTGTCTTGGAGTGTTTAAGTAACTTGAGAAATCTTTGACGTCACTCACAAAAGTCCTTTTGAGACGATAATTTTAACTCCTTCAATTTAACTCGGTGTGTGGGAAGAGACTCAAAGCTTTTTCTTGCTTATTACAGCTTTAAGCTGCCGTCTCGGGCCGAAATCAATAAAGAAAAAAAAAGTGCTCATTAAACATTTCCAGAATACTTCATATTTTATTTTTAGACTGGACAAATTATTTGAAACTAAACATCATCTATGCTCCTCTTCGAGGATTTTCAGGGATTGGAGGACTAATGGAGATGTTCGACTCCTCTGCCGCATATGTGGCCGAGAGTCAGAAACCTCAGCTCTTGTAAAGGGCAAATATTCAAATAACATGCCCCTTGTCACTCGCCGGCACAACAATATGAAGTATCGAATATCCAAATTACTGAAGACGAATAATTATAGATGCTTCCTCGAAGTTTATTGTCTGGATAGGGAAGGCTTAACAAGATTCGTATATCTTGGCCTTTAGTGCAAGTTGAATCTACAATTATATATGAGAAGAACGATGAGCAGCAAGATCTCGAAATATCAATTGAGAAGGAGGAAATATATAAAAAATGCATTCCGCACCTGAAAGAGAAATATTGAGAGGAATTTGGTGAGAGAAATTTTTCCGTACGAGGACTTCTGTTTGGAAGTAGAGAGACAATTCCTCTTTCAGCGACTAGTTTTTTGAAAGGCTATGTGTTGAAAAATATGAAATACAGAGTATGGTGAAGACCATTATTTTCGATTAACTGAGAATAAGTGTTGCCCAAAATCGGTCTTGATCTTGCACTTTGACCAAGAACAAGATCAAGACCAAGGCCCCTAATTGTTGCAATACCAAGACCAGGGCTGTTAAAAAATATTGATTTTTTGAAAAAAAATTAAGGCAAAATAGTTACTAATATTTGACAATCTTAGTTACTATATGTAAAATAATTGGTAAATAATTAGTATATAACCCATATACTTTTGCATTTAACTTCTCTAATTTTTCATTCGGGCTTAGTTAGGTTTCTCCTATTTAAAAAATTACGGTAATATATCTATAGTAATAAGCTGATAAGTAACTGTAAGACTGTTGCGAGACTCTTGCGCAAGACCAAGACCATGACAAAGACTGAGTTTGCCAGACCAATACTCGTCTTGGTCTCGCATTTGGCCAACGCTACTGGGAATCCTTCTTCATCCCCTTTATTAAATCAGGTCATTGATATTACTATGTAAAATTTTTTGTTCTGGAGTTCAAACAAGGTTTAAAAACAAAAATTTAATAATATTGAATTAGCTAAATCAGTTTCAAATTTTATTTATTTCGTGAAATGTTTAATTTATTTATTTTTCAACTTTTGCTTCAGTTGAAAATGGGCGCAAAAGAGAGTAATCAACTACAATAATTATTCTAAAGATGAATTAGAAACTACTACCCAATCCCGACTAATCTGGAAATATTTAAGGCGTAATTGATTAAAACTACAAAAATAATGTTGAGCCAGTCCCTCCGAAAAGACACAGATAAAAGTATTTGTGAAAGAGAGAACGTGTCCACTAGAGGGCAGATGTTCCGAATCGGAAAAGCTGCTATAACTTTGATAATATTATTACTTTCCGGGGGCTTTCCCTGTTAGTGCCAGTATTTAAAGAGGATTTTCCGACGAGGAGAAACTTTTTAATGGCCTTGTCTAGTGACTAGGTCATCCCCGGACCGCATCCCACAACTTTATTAATAATTAGTCTCGGAAAAGTTCTTTATAAGCCATTCCTGTTTTTGCGAAAGCCACGACCGGACGGGGTTGGAGGGATTGGAGAGGAGGGGTAGAGGATTGGTGCCTGGAAATATAGAGGCTTTATTGGCCCATTCTTCGACAATTTACATAAATTTCGCGGAAGGGTTGACGCCGAAGTGAAAAATATTTTCCAGCTCCAGTTAACGCCACGGAAAATTTTCCACTTTGTGAAATTTCCGGTGTAAATAACAGAACTGTTATTTATACATGGAATTATTTTCAATGGCTTTATAATATCTTGTCATCATTTTTGTGATTTAAATTAGTGAATGATTGATGTTAAAATAAAAACACTTTAAAAGACATTGGATGAAGAAAATTAAAAAAAGAATTGCATCGGCCGGGAATCGAACCCGCGTGGCAGGCGAGCATTCTACCACTGAACCACCGATGCTACATTAACAATGAACTACAATACAGTTTTTAATTTTTAAGTTCATTCGAGTAGTTTTCAACCCACTTAAAGTCAATTCAAACATTGGCGCTCACTTTCCATTCTGGTTGGGTGGTGGGGGAGGGGGGAGGGGTAAGGGGCGAAAGACTCTCTCTTCCCTCCCAAAAAGGGCCTCGAAATGAAATTATTATTATACTAACTTCAATTCCCACTTTTAAAAAATTATCCTTTGAAAATAATATGTTTATGTTTATTCCTTAAATTTACAAATGTATTTATCAATTACAATGTAAATAAATCGTTCTAAATTAGTTACAAAATAGCCAAGGCACAGACCATAAATTAGGTTATTCATCATTTTTGATTTAAAAAAATTTACTTTTGACGTTGATTTTTCGTATATGTATAATTATTTTAATTATTAATTCTAATATTTTTTTTCTCATTATTATATATTTTTTCTTCGTAATTTTTTTATTTGATTTATTTTTTTTATTTTTATTTATAAAATATTTTTGATTTTTGATTAGATATTGCATACTTTTTTTTGTTGTCGTTTGTGTTCCTTATCAGCTGTTTGATTGTCACTTTCCTGTGTTGCCTTGCCTTCCTTTCAGTACGCGATTTGATTTCATGGAGTGATGTTCAATTAGCTGTTCTTTTTCTGTCATAACGATGCCTGAATTGGCAAAACGTTGACGGTGTTTTCTTTGCCTGCGTTTTGAAGGCATAAGGCTGTGTGTTTTGGCATTTTTTCAATAATAATAACCTAATGTAAATAAAGAGAATTTAAAAAAAAAAGATAAATCATAGATGACTATCTAATGCTCTGGTATGATGCTTTTCATGTTTATTATTATATATTGTAATAGTAAATTTTTTTAACTGATATTTTTAGATTTTTTTGTTTATTTGTTGCAGAAACTGCCTAGTCGGTAAGAGCTACCATATCAAAGTCTCCGACCACGCCATGTACTGCAACAAATACGAGTCCGATTACTACCTCAGTGATACCAAAGCTAAGTTACCAATCAGGTGGATGGCATGGGAGAGTCTCTTGCTGGTAAGTTAACGAATATTAAACGTTATTATTATCTCTTCATTCTTCTTATCGTTCTCAAAGCATCAGTTTGGAATGATTAGGCCCTGCAAATAGTTTGCCACTCAAGTTGTGTCTCGTTCGATTCAAACGTAAAGTCTTAGGGACAACTTCATTATCCTAAAGTAGGAAGATTCTCTGAAGTTGTCCCAAAGTTTTTGTACAGAGATAATAGAAACGGCAGGAGGGATCTCTTTTTGTTATCTCGGGACTTAGCGGGCCTAATTATCTCAAACTATTCCAAGTGTCATTATGCTTTGTCAAAAAGTTGTTATGATTTTGGCGGTTTGGAGATCCAAGAGGCTCGCTCTAATCTTTATTAATTCACAACGGGCCTATTCTCATTATTTTATACGGCTTTATTTTATTATTATTTAACTAATTCCTAATACTTGAAATCCAATATCTTCCATTGAGTACAGTTTTATTCTATGTGGTTTGTAAATTAATTTTGTCATTACTTGTTCTAGTCAAAAATAATCGTAAAATAAATTTATATATTATATCCATATAAGTACACGTACTGTTAAAACATGTTCAGAAAGGAATTCATTTAAAGGAAATTACATCACCTAGGTGAGTGATCGATTTTTTTTTTTTTTGCATTTGCCTCCTCAAAGTGCACCAAAAAAAGAACTAAAAATAGAAATACATAAAAAATAGATGAGAAGGAGTTAGTCGGAGGTGCGGTCAAATAAATACTAAATTAAAATATAGTAATTATTTTAATTTTTGCCGACGTTTAGACCCACCTTGCAGGTCGTCTTCAGGGCTACAAAAGATACAAAACATGTTGAAAATAAAAAATAAATATAAGTAGATATAAAATAAGAAGAAGTTGTCAGATACAGAAATAAAAGATGATATCAGAGATATAGGGGGTGACAATGTAGTTAAATATTAAGTATTATATATGTAGAAGATACAAATAAATGGAAAATATGTATGAATACAAATAAAAATAAAGGATAATATAGCATGTAAGTTAAAAGTAAATAGATTGTGATAAAAGATAAGGAATAAGTGTATAACAAACTAATAGAGATTACATTAGATAACTGTGGGTTAACAGATAAAGAAAATGAATTTTAACGAATAAATAGATTGAAAATTAAATAAGTATTGTTACAGTAAAGTTAAAATAAGAATAAGATAACATTCAATTTTCAATCTATTTATTCTTTAACATTCATTTTCTTTATCTGTTAACCCACAGTTATCTAATGTAATCTCTATTAGTTTGTTATACACGTATTCCTTATCTTTTATCGCAATCTGTTTACTTTTAACTTACATGCTATATTCTCCTTTATTTTTATTTGTGTTCATACTTATTTTCCATTTATTTGTATCTTCTACATATATAATACTTAATATTAAACTACATTGTCACCCACTATATCTCTGATATCATCTTTTATTTCTGTATCTGACAACTTCTTCTTATTTTATATCTACTTATATTTATTTTTTATTTTCAACATGTTTTGTATCGTTTGTAGCCCTGAAGACGACCTGCAAAGTGGGTCGAAACGTCGACAAAAATTAAAATAATTACTATATTTTAATTTAGTATTTATTTGACCGCAACCCCGACTAACTCCTTCTCATATTATATCAACGGTCAACCATCTCTACATCATCATGAAAAATAGATGATCATGGTTCGGTTACTGCCAGGAGTTGGTATGAAGATTTTAAATAAACTCGAATAGATCAGGATATTTGTTTACCAATAACAGTGTCTATATTTATTTATTGTCCTTTATTGAGACAGATTGTAATATTTATCAATAAAATAAAAATAAAAATAAAAATAAATATTTATTTAAAATATTACTTTATTCCTAGAGAAGCGACCTGCACCATATTCATCTCCTATTCTCTTATGTTTCTGTTTAAAACCATAGTAGATTGAACAGTGTTTGTTCTTCGTCTCATATTGGTAAAAAAATATTCTGATCTACTAAAACATACTAAACAGTCTAAAATTACCTGATAAAGTCGAATATTTATATATGGAAGTTTTTTATAAACCTTAATTTTTTACTAGAATAAAATATTCTTTACATCAAATAGATAAAATGTCTATATACAGATCGAAAATTCAAAGTTAAAAAATTAAAAAACATTATTGCTATCAAAAAGGGTTCTCATTTTCTTAATTGGAAGGTATATTATTCAAATAAAAAAAATCATATTTCATTAAAAAACAATGGAAATTCGGGAAAAATGTATAATTTCTTTTCAATAAAAAAAATTTTCATTTCTAATTCAGTGTAATTTTATATTTTTGAATTTCGATATGGCCCTTTACCGGAAATTATTAAGTTTGAATGAACAGCTCGACTTAATAAAATACGTATTAACCGGTATGAAATATAAAGATGCAATAAAAAAAAAAATGTGAATGTGAAATACTTTGTCAGCAATTTAAAAAAAATATTTATATTTTTGCTTCTTTTTTTGTGATGAAGCTGTTAAAATTATTATGTTGTTGGAAATAAAAACTTTGTGTATTTGCTACAATAAATTTTAAACTAACATTTCGGGATACAATTTCCATTTTTAGAACTGTTTTGCTATCTGGCTTTCATAAGTAATTAATAACTAAATACCACGTGTGCTTCTTTGTCGTAATTTAAAAAAAAGTATATAAAAGTAATATTTGGAGCAACAAGATTATGGAACTAATAATTGGGTGTCTGTTCCAGATGTGGTATTTAGCTATTAACTACCGATGAAATCAATAGGAATAAATTTCTGAAGATGGGAATTGTATCCCGAAACGTTCACTTAAAGTAAATTATAGTAAAAACACAATTTATTATATATTAGAAGTCTTTATTGCCAACAACATAATTATAGTTTTGATTTGTTATGATCAAATTAATTTTTTTAGGAGAGATAAGAAACGAAAATAATTTAAATTTTTAAGGAGTAATGAAACGCAATGCATTTTGTTTCCTCTAAAATTTCCTTTGATACTTTTTAGTACTAATAAAATAGTAATTATTATAAGAAATATTTTAAGGAGCCTGTATTATTATCGATATTCATAAAGAATTTGAAATAAAACATCATCGATTTAGATACATTTATTTATTTTTTTAAAATTGCTGTTATTTGTTTTTTCTGTATTTAAATTTGTTTTGTGTTTATGGTGTGAGTATAAGCCATTTAACTTTTTTTTATTATGATTTTAAATATGATACTATTTTCTAATACAAGTTGATTAATTAAAAGACAAAACAAGGTGTTTTTATCTTCAAAGCAATTTCGCGGCATGGAGATTGCGTTCGTCTCAATTTCATTTAGAGTTTTATTGTAGTTTGAAATGCCCGCTTTAACTGCGGCTTACACTTTTGATAACGGCTCACTGATGTTCTACTTTTAATGCCCTCAGTACTGTATCAGATGATACTGTCTGATTAAGAAGCTAAGTTAACTGCCTATAGCGTCCGACAGTTTATTACTGTAATAAAAACAGGAACGCTGCAGTCAGCTGTTCCTTGAAACCTCCAAGCAGCATCGGAACCTTTTAATTGCTTAGCCTGTCCAATCAGTTTCTTCGGAATAAAATCGGTCATTCTGCAAAAAAAAAAAAAAAAACATGAACACCTTCTGAAAAGTTTACACGTGAAAAAGAAATATTACGCGACCAATAAAATATTATTTTCAATAAAGTAAAGATAATATTAAAATCAATATTATTATTATTATATTTAATATTATAATAGTAATAATAGCATTATACCGAAAGTTGTGTGGACTAACAGAATACTTTCATTTTCAAATGTTCAGGGTTATCAAGACATCTACACGTTAATAAAACAAAAACACTACTTTAACAAGTAAAAACGCCTTGTTTTATATTAAATGTCAAATACTATAAAATTTCATGTGTCTATTAATCTCACTTTACCTCATCAATTTCAATATTCTTTTCGTATCCGATTGAATCCGTTTGTGAAATCTCAACCTGTTAGCCAACAAAATAACGCATGAGAAAAATTTAAAATCACTGAGATTTTCCGATGCTTAAAACGGTTATTTGATTCTTGATGAGTTAAGGATCACTAACAAATGAGAATCTTTGAATTTTTAATTCAATCAGTGGCAATTATGAATTGTCTCGCGGACTATTAGTTGATAAAAAACTTGACCAAAACATATTACTGTGAAAAAGTTTTTAATAATCTAATTAAAAACGGCGAATGAAATATTTATAAATTCCACTACGCCAAAACTTTTGAAACTCTTTAATATCTGACCTATCAATATAAAAAATTAAAAGTACAACAAGGATTGTTTTATTATTAGTTCACATGTTTGTTTTTCCTAGTAGACCGAGGTGTACTTAAGACCAAAGTCGGATCTACGGGGGAGGGGCTTTTGTGCTGAAGCCCCCCAAAATGGTAAAATGTCTTGTGAAAAAATATAAAAAAATTAAGTCTAAAAGTATTACTCTTGGTGTAATACATTTAATCACTTCTGTACTATTTTATATAGTTTATTTATGTTTATTTCAAAGTAATTATCGGTCAATACAAACATATATATATATATATATATATATATATATATATATATATATATGGGAGCTTGGGTAGCCTTGCGGGCTAAGGCGTTTGCAGGTAATCAATAGGTAATGAAAGTTAAGCAACGCCGAGCGTAGCTAGCAAATGGATGGGTGACCGTCCTCCAAGGAAACCCACGGTGCCCGAGATTGCTCCCCTCCCCACGTATCTGAGGCCCGTTAGGCTACTGGAGGCAACTCACACCGACCTGGCGTAGGTTTGATGACTCTACCACGTACTTTAAATCGGGAATCGGGATGTCGTCTAGGAGACTACACTCGCGGTCATAGATCTTCATGGTCTGTAGCGCCATCCGAAAAAAAAATATATATAAATATAAAATCATTCGGGATGAAGCCACCCAAAAATTAAATCCTCGACCTGTTATTTCTAATAAGACCGATATTTTTTTTAGTGTAAACAGAGGTGTGCATCTACCACATTTCGTGATTTTGTACTTGTTTCCGGGTTCGAATGTTTCATCACACTGAAACCCCACAAAAATATAGTATAAAATATGGTTCGTTTGAAAAATTCAAAACGCTGTTAACCAAAGAATAAAATTTTGTTCAACTCTTGTCACAATGAGGACGTTTTTCTTCGTAATTATAAGTAATATCATCTCACTTCAAGTTATAAAAGGAAATAATTTTTAACTTATTGATTTCATTTATTCCGACAAAATATTTTATAGCATGTTATAAAAGAAAGAAAGAAAGAGATATTTCGTCTGAAACAGTTAACACGTTAAGATATATCCCCTCAGAAATTCAATATCTCTTACAATCGTACTCCCAAAAAAAAACTTTTGATGATGCCTTATAAACCCCAATCCTGGGTGGAACGTAGAATTTATAGCTGACTCATGAACCTGTATTTTTCAAATATTTCTTATTAGCACTTGGATCCTGCTCGAACCTTGGTCTCTCTACTCACCTTCATCCACTCTATCCTATCCTAAGCAGGCTTCCTTATATTTCCCATCCTTCCATCTAGTTTCACAAGCGTGGTCCTCCTCTAGGATCTCTTAATTTTGATCGGTTCTTCTGTCGTTAGGGGTCAGATTCTCGAAGCATACATGAAATACATTATTTATTTAATTTGTAGTTTATTCCATAAATCTTTATTCCATTTTATTTGGAATTATTTAAAAGATTAGAACGACTGTGAAATCAGTTAGAAAAATTTGGATCACCTACTGGTTTATGTAAGATCATGTTACACTACAGGACATGACATGGAATCGGTACAAGCTAACGATTGAGTGTACAAACTGAATCATGTTATCCAGTCAGTTAGTCAGTAGAGTGAGGTAGTGATCAAAGATGCATGGATAGCTGTCACCAACATCACTCTGTCTCGTTGGTCTTTGCCAGGGATGGCTATATTATCAACATTTATTCCTTTGTCTGTTTCATTTGGTTATTATGAATTGCATATTTTCATCCTAGGAACAACTGACAACACACTATCTTTCTGAAAGTTAATTATAAAAAAATAACAAACTTAATTAATGAAAGAGGCCTGAAAGATTTGAATTCCTATTTATGATTTGATATATTAAAACTTCTAAAAGGAAATACTATGCTTTTTTTTGTCTCCCCTTCCACACCTTTTAGGTTATACGGGGTTATCCCCAGGCTGAGATAAATGGCGAGGGAATTTTCTTGAGTTTAAAGCTCCACCCGACACTTGGATTTGGTTGCCAAGACAAATCGTGTTCTACACAACGCGTTAGCCGTTCGGCCACTCAGTCCGATAAAAAATAAAATCAAATAAAAAAATTCCCACTGTGATTCCGGAAGATTTATTTGGAAGTTGTAAAACGTCAATTAACCAATAATTGATTAATTTGAGAATGTTTTTCAATAAAGTTAAACAAATCTTTCTCTGTTGTGGTTACGATTTCTTTATGAGTATTTCAGTTAACAGAATGATTAACTCCAATTTCAATCTTTTTGATTATTAATTTTAGTGATATTTCTGGTTGTAAATTTTATAATATCTGTCTGTACAGATATTACAAACACACAAAAATTACTTTAGTCAAAAATGTTGATTTTGGAGTTAGTCATTCTGTCAACTGAAAGGCTCATTTTGCAATCAAAAAATAAAAATTGAGGAAAGAGATGAGGTCATAAAAAAAAAAACAACTTGAAATAGTGAAAAACTATTTTGTTTCAAGCCAACGTTTTGGCACATCTATGAAGGTTTTCATGAGGTTTCACCCAGTTTGAGTTTCGTACGAAAATCAACCCGGATCAGACCTCTGAAGAAGATCTGCATAGTTGGGTCAAAGGATTATACTAAAATAGATTTTACTATTTTTACCCGGACCATCTCTTTTCTCAGCATTATACTTTGGCCAACCATTGGCCCAAATTTTCGCCTAGTCTCCTCCTTCGGGTTTTTTTTTCCACAAAAATGTTATAATTTCAATACAACTCCACCTAATTAAAAGAAAATTAACAGAATTTTAATAACAGGTTCTTGGAAACTAAACATTTTTTTATTTTTAAATTATTCGCTATTTGATAGTTAAAAGGATGCTAAAAACGAACCTTAGTAGCTCTTTTATGACGAAAATTGACTTGGATTACTTTACTGGATACATGTACTTTTCTCATTTTATACTAAAATACACCAAACAAATTGATTGAAAAATGGTAGAATGTTATGATTTTTTTTTTTAATGTGATCATATGACTCATTGGTAAGAAAAGTTAGCATGGGTTAAATACTTTTCAATCTAGTATCATTAAAAAAAGTTTCATTGAAAGTAATAACCCTACGTCCACTACCCAATCATTATCATCATATGCCAATTAAAATTCCGAATGTAGCCACTTGTACTGAAAGGATTTCAAAAAATCTTCCAAAATACCTAAATGTATATTTTTTTGTATAATTCTCCCTTGTTGAAACTCAACAAAAAAATTGTTTTTTTACTATTTCGTAACTAATAAATAAAATTTATTCCATTCGAAAAATAACTAGAGCAGTCACCTTTGGGTTGCGTTCTAATGTCTCTTAGACTGCTTACATCGTTCAACTATCTGCCTTCCCTGACGGATCATTCCCCTTCTTCCATTCCCTGGCTTTCTAAAGAGGGATTTTCTTGGCATTCTAGTAGGAACCCTCCTATTCACATCCTCCGACCATCGCAGTTTCTTGAGTCAAATGACTATAATAATATCTTATTCATCACATTGATTCCTTAACTCTAAATAAACTCTGATTTCCCATTGATCCTCCATTTTGATTGACCCATCGATTTTTGAAATAATTTTCTTTCCTTTACTCAGAGCATCCTTTTTCTGTCCTAGTCATGAACCATGCCACGCTTCCGCATGTCAAAATAGGTCTCATTCTATATATTAGAGATATGCCTTTCTGGACCGATGTGTGCAATTCAGCAGTTTATGTTTACTATAAACATCGATTTCCTGCTCCTATATGTAGGTGGTCGTCTTACATTGGTACTTGAATTAGTCTTATAACTCCAAATTCCTATTTCCATTTTCTCTCTAATCATGTGTTCTTAATGTATATACATTTTTTAAATGTATTTTTGGTATTATGGATTGCTATGCATATAGTGAATATCTCCTTTTTATTTTTATTAATATTTATTTAATTTTTTTAAATAGGGAAAGCAGAGTACGAAGAGCGACGTGTGGTCGTTCGGAGTGACACTGTGGGAGCTGCTGACGGTGTGCGGACAGAAACCCTTCGGGGAGATGACCTCGGAGCAGGTGGTGGAAAACTGTAACCACTGGTATGAAGGGACAGGCCAGCAGCGGCTGCTCGCCAGGCCCAGCAACTGCCCGCGCGAGATCTACGACCTCATGACCGAGTGCTGGAAGCGATCCGACGCGGACCGACCCAGATTCGCAGAGATGCACCTCTTCTTGCAGAGGAAGAATCTCGGCTACGTTCCGGCCATCGCCTGATCCGACCCGGAGCTTCCGTCTCTTTTCGAGTTGTCCTTTCGTTTCTAGCGCGTGTCATACCCCAATCAGTGTTTGTACAAAAGTCTTAATGAAAGCTTGCCAAGAAAACGTAACTTGGAGAAACTCAACAATGTAAAATTCAGAAGAATTGACTTGAAATTCAATAAATATTCAAAGACATATAATCCAATAGTGTTCGACTTGGTAAGTCTTTCGTTAGGGCTATTATATTATTCAATAAAATGATAATAGATGGATAATTTTTGTTTTTTGGATAGAATGAAATATTTAAGAAAAAAAAAATACAAAAATACAAAAAAAATATAATAATACTTAAACAATATGATTCGCGTTATTCATTGTCGAGAACATAAGTAGGCCTATCTACAAGTTAAGACTCACTCACTCCAGTGTCTTTCTTGAAGTGATGGGGGCAGAGAATTTCGAATCCCCCCCATAAGCACGGATAGTGTACAGCACCGCTTAAATCTATCATTTGTGTAATCTATGTATTTATTGTCTGTCTGTCTGTCCTACTGTACATTGCCCGATGGGCCGAACAGTTTCTCTGTTTGTGGAGCCTTTTATCAAACAAAAAAATATATTTAAAAAAATACTAAAATAAAAAAAAAGTTTTTTTACAAATTCTAAGATTCTAAATAAATGAAAGAAAGTTTTAATCTAATGTATAAATAACGAAAAACATAAAAGAGAATGAAGTGTTAAAATGAAAAAAAAAATACATTAAATAAATATATATATATATTTGTATTTCTTCTGTAAGCATATGTGTGTTTGTATGATGATTGTACGTACTGAATTGGATAAACAGAGACTGGATATAATTCAGCTGCTCAAATATGTTGAAGCAAATTTGAGTGACGTTTTCTGTCATATCTGTCTGTAAGGTTACATTGACTATTATGTGTATTTAATATTTTAGACTAATCCTCAATGAATTTTTTTAGTGTTAACACTGATATCTCCTTATAGTTTCACATAAGTGTATTGAGATTTTTTAAAGAAAATGAAATCTGGTTCTTCCTTAAAGATTACTTAACGATGACCTATGGATAGCGTAAAATGTAAAAATATATATGTAAAGATAAATCTCTAATGAATCCTATTTTTATCTTAGAAATGGTTTGACACAACCGGAACGGAGGGAAGCCAGAAGGACTTTGAAAAATGATTTTTTTCAAAGCGGAAACTCGTTTTGAGTTTCTACATTTTTCCAGTCCTGGCTGGTTGTTCATTAATTACCGAGCTCTAGAAGCTTTTTATAAATAATGAAATTCGACCAAATCAGATTGAATATTCTTTCTTTTCTATACATAAATATATAGAATTATCTTTTTTTACAAAATATTTCTTTGTTGTTACTTGTACAAAAGTAATATTAAACAAAAAAAAAAATTAAAGTTGATATGTATATAATCATTAGTATATAGTTTTAGAGTATTATTGACGCCTTGTGCATTTTTTTATTTATAATTTTTTTTATAATTTGATTTAATACTTATTTTTCGACTGGCTGAGTTATTCACTGCATGTAGTGTGTATATAAACAATTAGGCTTAAGGATGTTTGTTTATGAAATAATTCTATAAAACTCATCGTAGCTACGTGATACATTCCAACGAACCATCTAGAGCACTAAAGGTGTCTTGGCTGAAATCGCCGTTAACACATTTGTAAATTATCTGTTTTTTGAAATATTTTTTTTCGTTTCCTCTCTTAATCGTATTTCTGATACAATATAAATTCTTTATGTCATGTATGTAATGTGATCGTTGTTGGTTCAGATTAGAAGCTGTTCCCGTAATTTTTTTTCTCAGTGTTTCGTTATTAAGTAATAGGTTGTTATATATGTGTAACCTAGAAGTCGAAACGGTGTACAAATATTGCGGGAGACATGGCATCACGATAGAAGAGCAACCGGCAAGCTAGAATTCACATAGACAGGGAACACGGCATTTGAATTTTCATACATAGCTGTAGTACACTTCAAAATGTTCTCATTGAACTGGTTACATAAAAAAAAAGGATAAAAAAAGCAATAATGTTCAATGTATTCCATTAAATTTTAAGAGTGTTTGTAATTTATAACTAGACAGAATTTTAATATCGATGGTGTATTCGTTTTTTCTCAAAGTATAATTTTATTGTGATAATTGTTAATAACGTTTAAAGTAACTTGAAGTTTAAAAAAAAACAAAAAAAAAAATTGATTTTTCGTCGTTCTTTAAAAGAGATGTTTCTTCACTTTTTATCTGGGTGTCCTTTATGTATTTTGCACTGGATCTAATGTTATCGAATATTCAATATATAATGTACATACACAGGCATAATCAGAGCTAATATATTTATTAAGATCTACTCAGATAAACTTTTGTGACTATCGACTTTTGAGTATCTGGTCCCCGACGCCTACAGTCAAATTTATTTTGTCGTCAGTCGGGTGATTTCTTCAGGCGTATTTCTTCCATCGCCCTACTTTCCCCTCGGCCCGAATACTTGATGGATTTTCATTCATCTTTTTTTTCTACCCATTTTCCCTGAAGGATTTATTTGTTTTCCTATAATTTCAGCTGCGCCCTCGAGTAAATCTCCTCTTTCCCATAGGCAACAAAAGGAATATACCACTGAATTTCTAAACGGATGAAAAAACGAACATTTTTAGTGTTAAGAGATATTTCATTGTGATGTTTCCATATCGTGAATATTGTCAAGTGAATTGTTGTCTAATACGAACAGTATTCTTTATTAGATATTTGTATTATAAATCTTACGTGAGAGATGTATCTCGTTTCATCTGATCTATATGACTGCCTTGACGCTGTTGCTTTGGAACATTAAGAGAAGATGTGATTCTTGTCAGTATTTTTGAAAAAAACAGAAAACAAACATAAATAAAGAATGAATCGAGCATCTGAGCAGTCATCGTTTTTTTACTAGCTTGTAAGTCATAGTGGTTAAGGTGATTGTAAAATTCGTTTGTGTTTTTTCGATAATTTCTGAAATTTTACTAATATTTTAATATAAATATATAATATATATTCTAAAGCTCAATTATCAGCGCAATTTGCTCACATATCGATACAAACTTATTTACTAGAATGTAAAGATCGTTGTTATCTTGTTAACTTTAGTGATTAACAGTTAAGGTGTTAAGTGAGAGAGATAATTTATATTCAATAATTATTCATTTTCTATTTTACATCTAATGTTTATTAGTGTTTTAGTGCTGTTCGTTTTTTCATCTAGAACTATTTCAGCAGCGCTTTCTTTATTCTTTAAGAAAGTATATTATTTAAAAAAAAATTGGTTATTATTTTTTATTATTACACTAGATTCCTTCCACTTGATTTAAATAATGCCTCCATTTCGATCCGAAGGAAGGCGCTGCGCAAACGCGGCGGGGACCAGAGTACTAACTGATCAAGTTCTTCTCTTGTTCTGTCTATCTCTGATCGTTGTAACGTTTTCATTTTGAGATATAGTTTGTCTCGCAGCCCCGAGTTCACTGTTGCTATAGCGCGTATGCAAATCACCAGAGTCTCCAAGTGTGAAACTAAACGGCAAACCTGTCTGTCTGCATCTATCATTGTTTCTATTTCTATTTTCTATGTCTAGCTCTATCTCTCTTTCTATCTTAGGCTACAAATATGGAGTCGAACGTACGAGTTCTCCATTGCCTTATGACAATCACTGAAGCAACAGTGGAAGGCCGGATTTAGGTCCACTTTCATCCATTTGGTTCTATATTTACAATGGGATATTTTGTTTGGTGGGAAAGAAGCCCTATTAAAAAACAAAAACTAAGGAGAGTCTTCTTGTACACAGCCTCCAAGTCTTCACAACCCTATACAAGCCCCAATTCAACCCACTTTCGAATTTCACTCGCGAAGTGGCCATTCCAAATCCTCCCCTCAACGGACTAATCTTCGGATTCGGCGCTTCGGAAAATCTTTAATTTCACTAAATGGAAAAAAATTTTCTACCTAGTTGTAAGTATCAATATGTAATGAGATAAGAAATGTTATTTTCATTTTTAGATGATAAAAATAAATGTTTTTTTCCTCACTTATGTTTTTTTTATTTTAAACCTAATATTTCATACTCCTTCCTTGAAACAAAAAAAATTTCTTTTTGAAAATTAGTTCACTCTCCAGTCTTCTAGTGTTCTTCAAGGTAGTATCCTATCCTTTGCATAGTTTAAATGGCCTATATCACACTGTTATCACTACGTATGCTGATGACACATGTGTCCTAACAGTTAAAAATTATCCATCAATTGCTTCCCAAACTCTTCAATCACAAATCACTGAAGAATTTTGTCAAAATTGGAGAATTAAAATTAATTACAATAAATCCTATCAAAGAACCTTTACCGTCCCTCGTAAAGCCATGACTTATCCTACAGTATCCTTTAATAATACTCCACTTATCCCTGTAGAACAAATCCCATACCTAGGACTCCACCTGGACAACCTTCTCACCGGGAACCCTCATTTATGTCTTTAACGACAAGAAACTACTCCACGTTCCACCTACTTTAGCAGTTACTAGACAAACGCTCTAAACTTTCACTTAGTTATAAAAGACTCCTACATATGCCAATAATAAGGCCTATTTCGACTAACGGAATTGAGCTTTGGGGCTCCACTTAACTATCGAATTTCTCTTGCATCCAATCCTAACAATCCAAAATCCCTCGTAAAATCATCAATGCTCCTTACTTTGTCACAAATAAAATCATCCATAACAACTTTAATGCACCGTATGTTCCCATTTGGTTCGATCCAGATACCTATCTTTCCATAATAAACTTCAGAACCATCTGAACCCTCTCGTTTCTAACCTTACTTCCTCCTTGCTCCTTCTCTCCAAGGATTCTGAAAAGAAGGTGGTCTCGTATTCTCCTTATGTAGATATATTATTAGATTGCTACCAGTGGATGATTCTTCAACAAGCGTTTTCATGTGATTATATTCCTGTGTACACATTTATTTGATGTATTTATATTCTGATACAGTTGTAAATATTATGAATAAAAAAAAAGAAGGAAATTTGTTTATCAAAGCTATTTCTAGATTTAACTAGTGTCTATGTTTAACTGAATGTATAGACCCGAATATATAGTTATATTCATATGTGCTCCTATGTTTTCATTATGGCATCGGAGGAAAGGTAAGAAATAGTTAGTCGAATAGGAAAAATTATTTTTTCTTGGTTGAAAGAATATAATTTTAATTTAGCAAGTGTTTTAGTATACAATTAAGAGATCAATTAACAACATATATTATTTCTGCTCCCAGGTCCAAAAAAAAAAAAAAAAGAAAAGAAATCAGAATAATGACAACAAAAAGAAATTACAAATTTCAATAACAACGTTATTTGTTTATAACGCTGATAATTGAATAAAATGAATACTAAATTGAAAAAGTACGTTATTAAAACTATAAAGCTGCAGAAAAATTATATGACAAACTTCTTAATAAGTCCAACCGTAATCAAGGCTTGCAGGGAACTTGCTTGGGTGCGTATAAGTTCATGTCAGAATTCCATAGGGTCCCAAAAGTTGAATTCATTTTGTACATATTGATATATATCATAGCATTCCTATTTCGTTGCATTAATTATTTTTTAGTCCCTGTTTTTTAACCACACCGACTTATTAACACACATTTTATGTCAATATCGACAAAAATATTCACTATCGAGATTGCCTTGGACAGCCCACTGTGCGTCAGTTTTCACCACCTCATTCGGCAGATATTCCTACCCATACATTTCAGGGGTTTTATTTATCTCTAGTTTTAAACTCGTAATTGTAAATCAACAGCTCTCAGTTAATTACCAAGTATTTTTTATTTATTGAGTATTCCAACAATCTGTCTCTTGGACACATTACCAAGTAAATGTCAATTGCCGATACACAATAAAACCATTTCCTCTATAATTTCCCGGCAGACAACGTACAATTTCTAAAATCTGATAATTAAAAAAAAGTAGCATTTTAAGTTTAAATTTATATTCGAAACGTTCATAACATTCCATTTGAAGGAAGTACATACGTATTCAAATACAGAAATTGAAAAGTTTTACAGCTATACTCTATAGCTATATTTTCTAATCTTATCTATTGAAAAATATTACAATCTGTATCAAGGACATTTATAATAGTGTTATATTTATATTAGTGGTCATATAGCGAATGCTTATATTAAATATGCAAACAATGTAAACTGGAAACCAATTATTAAATTCATATCGTATTTACTGTTTACTGTTAAATTATACTATTTTACTGTTAGTATTCATCGGAATGCAACTATGGAATATTGTCTTATTCTTCAACACTATCAAGATAAATCAAAACAACACTGTAATAAACAAAAAATATCCAATTTTCTACATTGAAGGTAAGTACACCTGATTGGCACAATACTGTTAGTTCTAGTAAGTTACAATTAGGTTTTTTTTCTAGCAAAGAAAAAATTTAATTTTACTTTTATTGTTATAAAATTTACTTCGGCTTAAATAAGTAAGTGTATTTATTCCATTTCTATCCAACTTTTAATTTTAATCAAACTTTTTTTTAATGTTTTGAAAGGAGTGAGTATAATAGTTAGTGTTGCACTTTTGCAAGACCAAGACTAGACCCTGCAAGTCTTGCAGTTAATTTAAACTGAGACTATTTTCAGATATAGTACGGTGCTTAAACATTTTAATCATCTAATGTAAACAGCGTTGTTTTTTTCTTGTGGAATTGTATATTTGAGTATAGCTTTCCAAATAATAATACAAAATTAATCTTTTTATTTGTTCTCCGCCTACCTCGCCATTTAGGTTATACAGGGGTTTATCACTATCTTTCTTTATTCTTAATTTTATTGATTTATTTGTACTTTAATATGTTTATGTCAATAAAACATCGAAATGTTCTTATTTTGTAGCGTTTTTCTAAGATTTAAATTAGCATATTTAATAAATAGCAATAAGCTAATAGTTAACTGCAAGACTCTTGTGCAAAACCAAGGTTTGTTGACGCAAGACCTCCTAGGTCTCGTCTTGGTCTTGCGTTTGGGCAACACCAATAATAGTTGTAGTCTTAGGTTTAGAGTTCTTATGTTGTTGTCAAATATTAGTACAAAACATTATACTTTGTCTGAGGAATCTAGAGATTTTTGATTTGATAGAAGTTGAGTAAATAAATCATACCAAATAAAGAACAGACATGATTATTGGAAAAATAAAACAAAGAAAGAAAAACAGTAACTGATATACAAGCCTACCTAAGATTACCTTTAAGATAATATCCTAAGTACTTAAATGACCGTGTAATTTCCAGTATTAAAAATACTATAAATTTAGTTCTATTAAATTTATTTACAATAAAAAGCTAGTCGGAGAAACGGCTTTTTTTTTATCAAAACGCTCTGTTTGTTTTTGTATAAAACCATTAATAACTTATTAACGACATTATCTCTACGTTTTTATTAACCTTCATCTATTCCAATTGAGCGTAACGGGTTTTATTTTTTTTAATATACATATATATATATATATATATATATATATATATATATATATATATTTTTTTTTTTTTTTTTTTTTTTTTTGTACGTAGAAGGAAGAAGATAATTATAAACCCGACATCCGAAGCCCCAAGGACGATTCAAATATAATATGAAAAAGTTTTTAAATTTCGGCCAGTTGAATTTAAATTTTCAAAATTTTCAGGTAAATAGATTTACTCATACAATATTTAAAAATTAGGAAAAAAGCTGGTAGAAGACAGAAAATCAGTATATTCATGTGATTATTCGAAAAAAAAAACCTTTAATGATAAGTTTATAAATTCAAACATCATTAATGGTAATTTCTTAAGAATTTAAATAATAAATTAAGTTTTTTATTATATTTAATAATTGGGTAAAGATAAAAGATTTATTACATCATGAGTTCTAAAATTAATGATTTTTGATTCACTTTGAAATTGCTGACAAACTTTGCGATTCAGTTAATGATGTTATTCCGAATGAGATTGGAAATGAGACATGGCTAACAATCATCACGTATGAGCGATGATACGATCCGTTGTACAATAGTCATGAATTTGAATATTTCTGCTAGAAAAGACAGAGGGCGATAACAGGGACCGACAGAATTATCTGTAACAGACGGTTCATTACCCTAGATCTGTTGCCGCTAGCGAATCAACAAGTTAAAGGACTAGATTTAATTAGCACTGTCGGTTACAGCAAGTTAATCCGCATCCGGTCCGGTTTGTTACACGGAAGGGCGATCAAAGGGGACTGTAATATTTAAGGTGACTCGGTTCCCCTCCCCTTCGCGATGGCAGCCTGAATATTTCATAAAGTGCCTGGTCCCCCCACCTTCGCCATCAAATATATAGCGGCATCCCCGTGTCTATTACTGCCCTCCGAGCCTAATCCCATCCCGCCCTTCCACTGTCGCACTGGATTAGTATTCTTTTATGTCACAGCGATGGATTCAATGCGCTGGGGGATCGGAGCCTTTGTATGAGTTAAGGGAAAAGGAAGGATCGATGACAACTCCAGAACCTGTTCGGCGACAATGATTACCTATTTGATGACAATATCCATATATTATAATTAGAGACCGGATCTCCAGGCAGTAAAAATCCGAAAAACGTGCAGTAAAAAACGCAAAATCGCACCATAAAAAACCCAAAGTATTGTAAAATTGTATGATTAACAACTAAAAACGTACAAACATTATCTATTTTGATAGATTTATAATATTAATACAACAAAGCCTTATTAAAACTTGTATAAAGCTTCGGAACTGAGATTGTCTAGCGTTCTAATTGTGTTTTTTTAGATCACTAAAAAAATATTTTGTAGACTAATCTTCTTTGAAAAAAAATCTTTAAAATAATTATTTTTTCTTACCTGCTCTACAGTGAACGTCTATCAGTGGTATAAAAATATCCTATCACAACAAAATAATTTTTCACAGCGTACAGAATAGAACTTTTCCATCCAATTTCGGTAATTATTTACTAGTGGAACTCCTTCGGCCATCTT